GGTACCTTCAGGAAATCACAGACTCAGATTTTTTGTGAATACTTATTGCTAGTTAAAGATAACATGGGTAATATTTTAAGTCAATAGAGATTTTTGAAGCTATGACAAGTTCATTTACAAATTTTAATCCTGTTTGCCACATTAATCAATCTTTTTCTAAAAATTTTATTATCATGTGTTTGAGATACATAATAAATGCAGTCACTGGGGGTAATTAGTACATATAGCATCCTGAAGATCCTCTTGTTGTTCTCCTCTCCCTCCCATTTCTCCCTATCATTAGATCCTTTCCCATCTCCACAAAGTCTATCTCCCAACAAATATGCTTAGATTCCTCATTAATCAAATTATTAGAAGAATTCAGAAATATCACTCCAATTTATATTACCATGATATATTGATTTACTCAAGATAAGGACATTTGAAAATAATAACACTCAGGGCAAATATCTCTGAATTTCCCTTCTCAAGAAAGATCCTTCAAAAGAAACTCAATGATTATCAATTCTCTGAAAATGAACTCACCACAAGAGATGAGGTCAGCAGTTGACATCACACTCAGATTATCATTTGTTCTGAAGGCCCATTCATCCTTCCCTAAAATCATTTACAGTAGAAAAATCTGTAATATATTTTTGAAAAATTTTTTAAAATTTTAAATTTGAAGAATTTGAAAATTTTAAACTCTATATACCTAGAAAATATAATGCTTTTTAATGGTTTCCAGTGTACCTTACTGTAGGGATATTTTCTTGAGACTAGTGGATGACCCGGTGTCAAATTAGTCCATCCCATTGTTAGCTTACCTGAATGCAGGAGTCTTATGTTCAAGGCGTAAGTTTTATAACAGCTCTTAAATGCCAGACTTGTGCCCAGTAGTGAAGATGTAGCTTTAGCTCTGAGATTCCCTTGAATATCTTATCCAATCTTTTCCCCTACCCAAATATGCAAGAAAAATAAACAAATATGGGAAAACTCCAATTCTGGAGAATTTCTGAAAGCGATAATCACACATCTACTGTGGTAAATTACAGCCCCTATCATTTACTTGGCTTGGGTGTAATTGGAGTGTTTTCCAGAGGCCCAGAAGCTAAAGGCTTGATAGGCAGAGTGCTGCTATTGGGAAGTGGACCTGTTGTGAGGTCTTTATGTCATTGGAGGCATGCTGTCAAATGAAGCCTGGCCACACCATTCTCCTTCAATTCCTGGCTCAAAATGTGACCACCTACTCTGAAAGTTGTTCCTACCATAATATATTACAATACTAGAGAACTAAACCAATACAGGGGCCTGATCTTAGACTTGAAGCTCTAAACCATGATCTAAAATAAAACTCTCTATGCCTCATAGATACCTGGCGTCAGGTATTCTGTTAAAGTGATAGAAAGATGACTAATGTAGTTAGTTACCTTTTAAAACTGGAGCTATTACCAATGACACATCACCACTGGAAATCTGTTAAAAAAGGTTTGCATAAAGGGAAGATTCTGCTGTTTGTGACAAATGTATGAACCTGGCGAGTATTATGCTCAACAAAATAAGGTAAGTACATAAAAATGTGGTATTTACACACAATGGAGTACTACTCTGCAATTATGGAGGAAAAACTTGAGTCATCTGTAGGAAAATGGACGCATCTTGAGACCATAAAATAAATCAGACAAGCAAGCTTAAAAAACCACATAGTTTCTCTTATATGAGACACCCAGAGAAAAAATAAAGTGGAAGGGCTAGGGATTTAGCTCAGTGGTTCCACCACCTGCCTCACAAGTGCAAGGTCCCAAGTTCTATCCCCAGTACCAAAAAACAGTGCAAAATAAAAGACAGATAATAGAAAGTAGGGAGACAGAGTTATCTCAGAGAAGGGAATCAAGAGATAGAAAAGGGAGGGAAAAGGCATAAAAAGGAATTGGGATGTGTTATGCACTTATACCAACTCCTCCCAGGTAATGCAAACTTCATTAACTGCTAACATGTACCAAAGTAAAACAAAACATGGGTAGATACGCACTCTAAATAGAATAAGATAGACATAGAAATAAAAACATCACATGATCTTATATGAAAAATCTAAAAAATGTGAGCTACATACATAGAGTAGAACTATGTTTATGTGGAGGGAATGATGTAGGAAAATGAAAAGATGACATTCAAAAGGTACACACATGCATATATGTAGGATCAGTAAGTCTAGATAACAAATGTATGTACATCATAAGGACTACAGTTAATCATATTATGGTGTATAGCTTAAATTTGCTAAAAGTGGAGTATAAGTTCTCTTACCACAGAAAGACTGTACTATTTGATGTGTTGAACTTAGACTTTTTAAATTTGCTTTGGCCAAAATAATATTGTAGAATGGGGAGTGTCTCTCTAGGGAGTTTGGCATGATTTTGTTTCTTTGTTTGTAAATCTTCCTCTGAATGTGAACAAGTTCAAGCTATCCTGAAGCTGGGTGAGAATACATGTGGAGGAGAGCTCAGATGACCAAACGATAGCCACACTCCACCTGCCTGCCTCAATCAAGCTCCAAAATATGAGGAGACTAAACCAAGACTAGATAAAGCAAAAAAGGTGAGTCAGAACTGAATATACACCTATGAAAAACCCAGCAGGGATGAGAATACATTCCTAATATGGACACCTGGGAGATGAGAAGCATTCTCTTAAACCATTTAATTTGGAGTCAGCTTATGTGGCCAAAACTTACTCATACAGAAATCAAAGTCATTGAGAATAGTCTGCTCCTTCATGCTTTTGGCATTTTTTCTAATATTGGAAGATAGCACTCATGATGATTTCATATTTATTTCAGATAAGTCTGTTAAAGAGAGACTGCAATTGAAATACTTTTCTAGGTAATTGGGAGGGGTTAGAAACAAGGTATTTTTCAGGAATAATTTGTGAACCTGAATCACAAGTCTCCATCTCCAAGGGCATGACTAGGCAAGAATTCAAGGCCTTACATTAGTCATCCTTTATCATGAGAATAGAAGAGAATTTTAAGTACAAAAGACAAACTGATAAAGAGATAAACTGATGTATATGTCACTTACTCATCACCACTTTAATGTGTATGGCAAATTTTTTAAAGAGGGAGATATTTTGCTTATGTCACTGCAAGGAGATATATTTCTATGCAGCAATGGCTTAAGCAGGAGAAGAAAGAAAATCGAATGATATAACAGAACATGACTCTGAACTATTCAGTATAGGTAACAGGAAAAGGGGACATTACCGGAGACTCCTGCAGTTGGTCTTGGTCTCCTGCAAGCCAGTACAATGTCCATGAGATAGGAAACCGGGGAATAGAAACAACACAGAGACAGGGACTTGAGAGAAACTAAGCCTTGGGCTGATCTAAGCAGCTGTGGGCAGCAAAGACAAAGACATCAAGGACGTCCAGTGTTTATCCATCACAAGTGTGGGAAAGAGGCAAGCTAGGCAGGCCTTGGGACACTGGCTAAGTACAAGTATCAAACAGGCAGGACTGTAGAATTAGGGTACAAACATATCTTTGCTGAAGAGAACAAATGGTTAATTTAAGGGAAGAATTTAGTTGGAGTCAGTTGAACTTGGCTGGGAGTGAACTCAGCCAAGCTCTGCTACTTCCAATGTTACAAGGCTGGATCATGGAGGGGCAAGACCCTTGTGCCACTGTAGCCTGCTAACACTGGGCAGAGGTGTCTGCTACACTTCAGTTTCATGAATAACCTCCCAGGATGTGGAATCCAAGCTTCCACACTTCCATGAATATATGCACATCACCCACAATAAATCTTACCTAGAAATTCAACATATTATCGAAAACTTTGCCCCATCTATTTAAACTAATCTCTGTCTGTAAGATCAGACTGTGTCAATCAGTTCATCCAAATTTGTCTTTCATGTAAATGAAACATGATTTTTGCCTTACATCACAAAATCAGCTGATATAGAAGGCAGTGTGGACTTTAAACTGAATAAGATATATGATGATAAATAGGAGAATAAAATCTCATGACCAGATGTAGAACATACTTCTATGTTAAGATTACCTTGTCTAAGGGACAAAAGAAGGAATAAAGAACACAAAAGTGGAAAAACGGTGGTTTCAGATTGTTCTCTACTATCAAATTAAATGATCATAATAGCTAAGTGTAGTTTATACCATAATAATACACCTAATAATTATATGTGATAAATGGGAATAACACAATTCCTTTCATCCAAAATTTTTAATCACTTTGGAAAAGCCTGAAAATGACAAAATGCAAAAATTATTGCGTATCAGAGAGCAGAAATCTGTCAGGAGCAACCAAGATCAGGAGGCGTCTTGTCCACCTCCTACACCTCATGATTTCCCTTCTTTTGTGTCCCAATTTATCCTGCCAAAATAGCCTGGATTGCAAGGAAAGGTCCTTTATACTCAGTTTATTGTAGTCCTAGTTAACATGGTCCTAAGAACAACAAGCTGAACATCCCCATTCCCACCAGCCTTATCAGTCATCTAGTCTCAAAATGTATTAAAACAACTTACTAAGGACACCCTGCCCCATCTCTTTGTTTATACCTTCTCTCATGCCTTAAATAAATGCCACCCAGGCTGTGGTGTTCTTCTCCTCTTAGCAGGCAAGGAGGCCCCACCGGTCCTGCTTTGATTCTCTTTTGTTTCCTACATCTTCTGTCACCCTACTCAGACCTCACGCCCTTGCCATGCAGGCCATGGCAGAAAATGATTGTATATCAGAGAACAGAAAAGCACTGGATATCAGAGGGAGTTGCCTAAATTATGTAAAGTAACTAAAGTCAAACAAATTGATACTACAGGAAATAAATAAAAGAGAAAGTCTCATTTCTATGATCTGATTAAATAATCATAATTACTACTTCTGAGGCTCTTCATTCAATAGCATAGGTTTAAAAATAGGGTTTTTATTGGTACATGATTGCAGTATATGATGATTACATTCATTGTGAGCAGTTGGTACATGTACATAATACCTCTAAATTATTTTCTACCTATTTACCCATCCTAACTTCCCTTTCTTCTCCCTCCAGTTTTTAGTCTCCTTCCTTTTTTCCCATTTCTTTTACAAGTATCTTCTCAGAGCACTCTTGATGTCTTTATTCCTCAGACTGTAGATGAAGGAGTTCAGCATGGGTGTGACCACACTGTACATCACCGAGGCTGGTCCACTTGAGTGTGAGCTGTGGGTTGCAGCTGAACTAAAGTACACTTCTAGGATTGTAAAATAGAATAAGGAGACAACTGAAAGGTGAGATGCACAGGTAGAAAATGCTTTATATCTCCCTCGAGCTGATGAGATTGCACATATGGAGGAAACTATCTTGGCATAAAAGTAAATAACACCTGTAAGTGGATCACCACCCAGAAACACAGATGTAAAATACTTCACCAGGTCACTAGGAAAAGTGTCAGAACAGGCAAATTGGACCACTTGATTAAGTTCACAGAAAAAGTGTTGTATTTCTAAGTCTTCACAGAAGGACAGCCTCAGCCCCATTGTGCTTTGTAACAGGGCATGGAGAACACTCATGATCCAAGTTGGCACAACCATCAGACCACAGAAGCAAGGATTCATGATGGCTGTGTAATGCAGGGGGTGATAGATGTCCACAAAGCGATCATAAGCCATCACAGGCAGGAGGAAGTTTCCTAAGCTTGCAAAGAGTATGAAAAATTGCATCTGTGTGATGCAGCCTGCGTAGGATATGATTTTGCTCTGTGTCTGCATATTCTCCAACATCTTGGGCATGGTGGTGGAGGTGAGACACATATCAGCAAAGGACAGGTTGGAGAGGAAAAGGTACATGGGTGTGTGCAGGTGGGTGTCTGAGATGGTGGCCAGAATGACAAGCAAGTTCTCAATCATCGTGGTCAGGTACATGGAGAGGAAAAGCCAGAAGAGGACAGGTTGCAATCTAGGTTCCTCTGAAAATCCCAGAAGAAGAAATTCTGAAGTCCATGTATTGTTATTCAGTTCCATGTGGCTAATGTGAATATGAGGGGACACGAGAGAGAGAGAGAGAGAGAGAGAGAGAGAAAGAGAGAGAGAGAGGCATTAAAAACCTTTTCAGATATGCTCTCTTTGTATTCTAAAGGAAAGAAATTTTATTTTGTGTATGAATTTGTTCTCCTTTGAGCATATACCTGCCATCTCTAATGAGAAATTTCCCTTCTGCTCTCACACTCCCCTAGAGGTCATGTATTTATAAGTATAATGAGAAATTTATTTATGCACTGAAAGATATAAATCAAAGTAGATGTTGCTCTATGAACAGTTGGACAGTGTGTAAATAGTGCAGGAAAATAAATGAACCTACAATCTAAAGATAGAAAAAGAAAATAAGTAAACAAAAGCTTGTATAATATGCTTAATGGTAATATGTGTTAGGGATAAAAAGAAAAGAGGTAAAACAAAGAGAATGGATGAGAGCGTTTTGTGTTGTTTTGCTTTCTAAACTAGGATTCAGGCAAGTTAAGTACATAAGTTAACTTTTAAACAAAGATCTCAAGGAAAAGAAAACAAGTGCCAAAAGTTCTGTAGGAAGGTGTGTGTCTGCTGGGGAGAAAGCCCAGTGTCAAAATCCCTGAGAAAAGTGTATCTTCCAGAATTTCTAGGCCAATAAATAGTTTGACAAGTAAGAGGGAGGTGCATGGTTCAAATGTGGAAGTGGAAAATGGTGGCCTCCTAGCAGCTAAGAATAGAAGAATGGTAATCAGAGACTGGGGAGGGTACCAGGGAAGGGGAGAGAGAGGGCATTAGTGAATAGGGATCAAAACACAGTTCAATGTGAAACTACCTTCTAATGCTCTGTAACACAGCAGCATGATTATAGTTACAATTTTTGTACATTTCAAAATAGCTAGAAGAACAGAGTTTGATCATTCCCAACAAAAAGAAATGGTGCATGTTTAAGGAGACAAATACACTAATTACCCTGATTGGACACATTCTATACATGTATCAAAATAGCATTTTTTACCCCATAAGAAAGTACAGTAAATATCTGTTAATTTTTAAAAAAGCATCTACACCATTAGTTTTTATAGGACATATCACAAGATAAATTTATGTGTTTGTTAAGAAAGGTAATATATAAAAACCATAGGGCTGGGGATTTAGCTCGGTGGTTTT